GAAAGAAATATATAAATGATTAAATATATGATAGAAATAAGTGATACGATTTGACATTTGAGTTTGACAAAGAGATGATAGGTGATGTAAATGATTTGTAATGGTTTTGAGGAAGAAAATATGAATGGGATAAAATTCAAACACACTATTGTTTTATTATATAGATATACTAGTTATTGCCTGTATCTGAAGGTACAGAGTAATAAAAAATGATAAACAATAAACATATTTGTATTTATATTCAAAATCAAATCACAAATATAAAGAAGAGATAAAAAAAATTAAGTATCGGTTTATAATAGGGGGTGAAAGGTGGTGGGCGACAGTGGTGGTGGTTGGAAACAATGATAGTTGTGGTGGATGACAATAACCGTGGTGGCGACGATAATGGTGGTAATTGTGGTGCCGATAATGGAGGTGGTGGCAACAGCAGCGATGGTGATAATGGTGGCGGTGGGGATGGTGGTGATGATGGCAACGACAATGATGGTGGTAGAGGCGGCGACGGAGGTGGTGGTAGTGATGTTGGCGACAGTAGTGATGGTGGTGGCGATGGCAAGGGCAGCGGGGGGTGGTAGTGGTGGTGGTGGCGTCGACGTTGGTGGTGGCAGTGGCGGTGGCGGTGGTACAGGTAATGGTGAGGTGGTGGTAGTGATGGGGCGGTTTCAAAAACTATTTTTTTAAAGTATTTATGGGAAATAATTTTTAAAAGTATTTTTAAAAAGTCACTTCAAATACACTCTTAGAGGCCTATTTTTTCTATTAAAATTAGGGTATTAATATTAGCTGTTAGATTAACTTTAAAGTAAAATTTAAAGTGATCTCAACCACGAATAACAAAAGTTATTTGATTTATTTTTTTTGAAATTTGAATTGTAAGTTATATATATATATATAACGTGGAAGTGTGGGAGATCAAAAGGCACTTTTATAAAATTCTACCTTTAAAACTTTCTGCATAGCTTTCATGAGCCGTTCTATCAATAATTTCATCCTTTTTCAGCGGATTGAGGANCTTATTATATTAATTTTTTTCAAAATATATTAACTATAAATCAAATATTAAATAAATAAATATATGATATAAATGAGTGATGCGATATTTTTATGAAAGAAATATATAAATAATTAAATATATGATAGAAATAAGTGATACGATTTGACATTTGAGTTTGACAAAGAGATGATAGGTGAGGTAAATGATTTGTGATGGTTTTGAGGAAGAATATATGAATGAGATAAAATTCAAACACACTATTGTTTTATTATATAGATATACTAGTTATTGCTTGTATCTGAAGGTACAGAGTAATAAAAAATGATAAACAATAAACATATTTGTATTCATATTCAAAATCAAATCACAAATATAAAGAAGAGATAAAAAAATTAAGTATCGGTTTATAATAGGGGGTGAAAGGTGGTGGGCTACAGTGGTGGTGGTTAGAAACAATGATAGTTGTGGTGGATGACAATAACCGTGGTGGCGACGATAATGGTGGTAGTTGTGGTGCCGATAATGGAGGTGGTGGCAACAGCAGCGATGGTGATAATGGTGGCGGTGGGGATGGTGGTGATGATGGCGACGACAATGATGGTGGTAGAGGCGACGACGGAGGAGGTGATAGTGATGTTGGCGACAGTAGTGATGGTGGTGGCGATGGCAAAGGCAGCGGGGGTGGTAGTGGTGGTGGTGGCGTCGACGTTGGTGGTGGCAGTGGCGGGGGGGGTGGTACAAGTAATGGTGAGGTGGTGGTAGTGATGGGGCGGTTTCAAAAATTATTTTTTTTAAAGTATTTATGAGAAATAATTTTTAAAAGTACTTTTAAAAAGTCACTTTAAATACACTCTTAGAGGCTTATTTTTTGAAATTTGAATTGTAAGTTACTTACAGATATATATATATAACGTGGAAGTGTGGGAGATCAAAAGGCACTTTTATAAAATTCTACCTTTAAAACTTTCTACATAGCTTTCATGAGCCGTTCTATCAATAATTTCATCCTTTTTCAGCGGATTGAGGAATTGGTGGCAGTCATGTAAATTGATCGGATCAGACTCCTTGACCCAGATATCAATTATGAAAAATTATAATTGAATTTCATCAATTAATTATTTCATTTTAATATTTATTTATATATAATTTGAATAGTAGCAAACCAAATATTAATTTATTTGGATTCATCAATGGGTTTTTTGACCTTCTTGGATTCTTGTGACTATATTATAATGTTGGGCAAATAGTAATAATTTAAGTACTCAATATTTGCATGTTTATAAAGAAAAAATAAAAAAAATTCATATCATTTTCTGACAAAATTTTTAAGTTAATTGATAAACTCTCGTCAATTTCTCCCAAGATTAGTATCTTTTGAAAGTAGTGCTTAGAATTGGACTTCTTAGCCTTCTTGGGTTTTTGCGACTATTAAAATCTGATTCGTTAATAGAAATTCATTAGATTTGGGTCCCAAAATTTTGACTATTCACTAATCTAGACCAACCATAGTATGTAATAAAAAGAAAAGCTAAACTCTAGCAGAAATTAGTTAATAATAGAGAAAGAGGTAGCTTTTGTCCACCTAATTTAGTAGTATAGGGTCCACCATGACGTGCTACTAGTGGATATTTCACAAACTGACCATCTATGGGGATGGCTTAGTCTGGTTATGGTCCTACACACCAAAANTTGGATCCCACCTCTCCTCTACTTCTGCAAAAGCTAATGATTGAAAGATGGCTAGCCTAGACCAAGCTAGGCTAATCATTATGAAAACGCTCTGCTCGATGGTGTTAAGAGATGCAGGAATGCAGAACGTGCAACCAAAGAGGGGTGGATGCGTGGAATTTGATATCAAATCAATAGCAAAAAGACTTGGGTACTCCTACTGACACATGACTAGAGCAAGTAAGCATTTAATGAATCCTCCTTTCTAATGAGACAACAGTTAAGGCATGGCAGCCGAGAAGTGAAGTGCATTAAAAACCCTCATACCTGAGCATTTAATACATCCTCGCCGAGAAGGGGGAATTGAATGCTCAGCAGGCCGAGGAGTGAGTTTTAAATGCTCGGCATACCGATAAGTTAAAACAAAATCCATTCCCCATAAAAATGAAAGGCACATTGCTTTATCTCTGACAAATACCTACTGGATGGACTATCAACAATCATGAGCTTTTGAAGGAATAAATAGTTCTCAAAAAGCATTGCAAAGGTATGCAAGAACTTCTAAAAAGAATTGCACAGTACTTTCTTCTTTCCCTCTCTTAAAGAACTGACTTGATCGTCGGAGGGGATACGCTGGAAAGCACTCCGGCACTCCTCTAACCTGTTTTTCTGTGTCATAGGATCTCCCTATTGTCTTTCAGGACCAGTCAGGCAACCCAACAAACAATTCATTACCCGTCCTTAGAGCCCCTTTGTCCCTCTCAACCTATTTCTTGTCGCAAAAACCCACGTTCGGATGGGTCAAATCTTAGCCGGAGGCGATCGAAAATTTTGAAAGCAAACCTTTCGTTCCATCGAAATTACTATCTTGACAAACCATAGTTTATCGTGTGAGAGATCTGTTCCTATTTCTATTGTTGTGCAAAAATCGACACGCACAAAATGGATCAAAAAGAGAATTAATCGATATATACTTGAATTAGTCCGATCACCTAAAAATCAAAACAAAAACGTTTATAAGCGTCCAAATTGCAAACCATTCCAGGTTTAATTTGGGTTGACTGAGATGAGAAACCTTAGCCCAATCAACAACCACTCCATCTGGGCTTGAAACCAGCTGTGGATGCATGGATCATATTGAAAGGGTTCTGCTAAAAGCTTAAAGCCTTTCCCAAAATACAGAATCTGAGGATGACGTTGGACCGTATCCCTTCAACCCATGACTCAAAAAGACCTCCAAAATTAAGCTCAAGTGCAGTCACAAAATCTTCGATTGACCAGCCATACCCATGGCTTCTGCGATTTCTGCTCCCACATATTTGTATTCATCATCATTGAGAAATAGAAAACCCACCCTCTACAGAGTCTCTACTACTGTAATTCGAAGCCCCAAAACCACAAATTTTCCTTCCTCTACATGCCTTCCTCAACTGGGTTTTGGTCATTTTTCACCATGGAACGGTCTAAGGCACCTGGGTATCTCAATCTCATCACAATCCGTAAAAATTGGTATTTTTTCTCATCTGGGTTTATGCAGTTATCATATGTAATGGTTTTTGTTTTTGTGTGTAACTTTGGAATTTGAAATATAATGGTTTTGCAGAAAGGAAAGTAAAATGTAAAGGTAAGGGTGTGTTTGCGTCTCTATTTGGAGTTGGGGCTCCTGAAGCTCTGGTGATTGGAGTGGTTGCTTTGTTGGTTTTTGGTCCCAAAGGTCTTGCCGAGGTGAGTTGGTTTGCTTCTAACTCAGATCTGCTGAACTTTTTTATGTCGCACAGTTGTGAAAATATGCTTGCTGATTCTAATGTGTTTGTAACTCTTGCGACGAAATTAGGAACATTTTTATTATTAGTTTTAAATGGTTTTGAAGATTGAATAGAATATGAGAGATGCCATTGCACATGCCAGTTGGGTCCTTGGTTTATTCTGCTGGACTGAATGCACTTCATTTGTAGAAAGTGTCTTCTAATGCTTCATTTTATTATTGACTTAGGTTCTGAGCTGATATGATCGAAAAAAGGTTCTGAGCTGCTGAAATTGTGCTTAGAATTGAAATCCTAATTTTGAATTAAGAGTGGCAATAAGGAACAAGATGAACAAAGATGTTAATAATTCAAGGACTGAAAATAGTCCTCCCAGCACAAGGTTTTCTTTTTTAATGATGGTTGAAACAGAAAAACAACAATGTGAGAATGCAATTAGAGAAAGTGGTAATTGGTAATAGGCATGGGCCTTAAGTTAGGTTCCATTGTATGGTTACTATGTTGTGACTCCATAACCATGAGTTTGCTCTCCATTCTTGATTTGCAAGTGCATTAAAAAAATCTGATTCTTGATGGGATTTCTGGATCTAACTGGCTGCTTGAGTTGTGCTCCTAGAAGCCATGATACCACTGCCTAGAACACCCGCCTCTTTAGGACCACAATCAGGATCCCATTTCACTGAACACTGCTCCTCCTCTGAACCTAACCAAGCTAAGTGTACTTGCTTTAGCCAACCTTTACTTACGTAATAATAACCAAAAGTGCCAGATGCAATTTGTGAAAAGAATGAATGTTTTGAGAGTGATTTGGGGCCAGAAATAATATGACACTTCCTATAAGATATGAGGGGAATTATAACTGGTTGTAGCATAGACTCCCTGAATTAAGACATCAAAGGTAAAGGAGGTTTCTCATTAATGGTCAATCAACCAAAATTATTGCCAAAGACTCAAATTCATTACTGTGATTTTTTTTGCAAAGATTGATTGTGGGCATGAAACCCTTTAGATTTGAGAAATATTAATTTGCGATCCTAAGAAACAAATCAGCATGTTCAAAAAACAAGAAGTTGTCACGAATGATATGGTTGGATTTCTGTGTATTCACCAAAACAAACTGGGTAGGAATGATAATATCGAAATAAAAAATAAGAAGAGTTAAAAGTAAGATTACTGCAAGTTTAAAAATTGCTAGAGGTGTTTTATGTTTTATGGGCTGAAGACCTTCAAACTTTAGGCTGTGGGAGGAAAAAAGGTTTTCCCAGCCATGGTAATACCATCACTCCAGGAGCTATATTACAATATCATTTTTCTCACCTACTGCCTCAAGAGACCTCTTGAGGTCTATTTAGCATATGTTAAGACTGTGTTTTATTAGTTTAAAAATGTTTCAGCCTCAGTCTGGAGAGGAAATCAATGAGCTTCTTTTCATCCTAAGTTCTTCAAAAGAAACTATTTTTGAGTGGAAGTGTAGAGAATAGAAGTGTTTTAGCTTGGTTTTGTTGTTTTAATCATGGAGGGGATGATGTAGGTTCAACTTCTAATGTTGAGGTGGTGTCATTTGAGAGATGTCATTCTCCTTCTATTGCTATTGACTACCTGTTGATTTTTTCTCTCATGACCAAGACCAACCTTCTTTGAGCTATTGCATGGACAAGTTCCTTCGTGTGTATGTACTCATGATCTATTGTTGAATTTCATGTATGATGCTTGCCATTGTGGGAGTTTCAACTATTAAAAAATTATGCCTTTTTTGATTGTTGTGAGATCATTTTGATTCTTGATTATTCGGAATTTGGCGGGGAACTCCCCTCCCCCCCCCAAAAAAAAAAAAAAAAAGAAGAAAAAGCAAAATCTATATTTGGCTTCATTTTTATTCTGTTCAAGTATCCCAACAAACTAATTTGAAAACAGGTTGCTCGGAATCTAGGGAAAACTTTGCGTGCATTTCAACCTACAATCAAAGAACTTCAGGTAGTTCTATGTAACTATGGTGTACCTTGAATTGTCTTTACTATCTTTTGCGGGGGACTTGATGTTTTGGGTGCTCGCAATTTTCTTCTCTTTAGGAGGTTTCAAGGGAATTCAAGAGTACACTTGAACGAGAGATTGGTCTTGATGACATTCAAAGTTCAGTAGAAAAATCATTCAGCTCAACCACAACTAACACTACATCGAGCCCTTCATCGATTGCAACCTCTGAAGATTCTCGGATAGAGGCCAACTCTAGTGAGTAATAAAGTATTTGAAGTGTGTTAACTTTTTCCACGGCACTACTTAAATGCCAAGTAATAAAGGACTTGATTTCATTTGTGGTTTGCTCCTTTAATCAGTGTTTAGCCAAAAATAAAGCTTGCTCTTAAGTCTAGGGTCATGTTGAGAATGTTGACATGTCAGGAAGAAACTAAAAAACTGCTTGGTGAATTTGATTTCCCTCTGCAATATAAGTAGTACTATTGTTCGTAAACTTCGGAATTTTATACTAAATATTCAAACTGTAGCACAATCGAAATTTTGACAAATTGGTGTATAACACTACGAAAAAAGGCAAAACTTGTGCCTTCATGGTGTGTGAATTGACTACCTGAACTTCAAACCTCCCGGGCTTTGTTTTGGACAGGTTAGTTCATATTTACATTTAATATTCAGTGATTTGCATTTTTACAAAATCCCTACGGCAGACAAAATCTTAGCCTTGGTGCTAATGCCAGGAGCAAAGTGAGGTATTGATAAATAAGTTTTTCCACAGTGGAATCTTAATTTTATGGTTAACTGTGGGAGCACCTGCATTATCCCAGGCAGAGTAAAAGCAACCAAATGTGATTTATTGCATCTTTTCCTTTTAAAGTCAGGGCATGGGTTTTTGATGAAAAGCGGGAGAAAGGACAAAACCAGTCTTGATCTGTGTTTTTTTAAACCGAGCATAGGCTGCCCCTAAGATCTGCTTATGTGCGACCAAGTATCATAATGCCGCAGTATTAATGCAACCATGAGAAGTGCAAAGTTTATTTCTTCCTAGTTTGACAACTGACAAGTAGTTTCTTGTCCAGTTATTTTCTTGTGTTATACTCAAAACATGATGGTTTTATTCCTTGAATATTGCTTAGATTATAAACTGTACTCCTTATGATGTGTTGTGGTATGTGCTTGTTCTTAGTAGTCAATCCACTTTTCCATTTAATGTTTTCTGGCTGGTGACTTTTGCATTTAAGCTGCTGCTGCTTCCTGATGAGATTACTTTATGAACGATGTTAATGACGTCGTGTGATTATTATCAAGTAGCAGATGGTTCCCCATCCCCAAACAAAGCATACTCGAGTGAAGAGTACTTAAAGATCACAGAAGAGCAGCTGAAAGCATCTGTTGCTCCGCAGCAGACAGAAACAGCCTCCATTGGAGACAGCCAGACTGAACCTCAAAGTCAGTCGCAAGGTTCGTAATTTTGAAACACTCTCTCTCTCTCTCTCTCTCTCTCTTTCTCATGCTTTCTCTTTGCACAATTTGTAGATATCATTCAAGAATCTGCTGCTGTGATGCCTCTGTCTCCCACGAAGAAGACTGAGAGTGAGATATGAAACCTCATTAGGATTTTTTTTAGCCAAGAAGATAAAAGTAGCTTAGAGTCTGGTTTCCTTCCAAATGGTGATTATTGGCTTATTGTCTGAGATGTCTTCGAAATGCCCAGTCTTAGATTTGAACCTTAACGAGTTCAGGCTGTTTCCTGTATCAAATGTACCGTGTAACTTTTGTATAATTCAGAACCAATGCAAGAGAGGAATTCCCCATTTTCGCTTACGACATACAGATTACTGCATAAAACTAGCGCTTTTTGTGTTTGTGTTAAACCTTTGTACCGTTGGGTAATTCTTTTTTTTTTTTTAAAAAGTAATCTTTTTAAAGTAAAAAGTAAATTATACATATGACCCTCAAATTATAATCTTTGTGTTAATTAAGCTCTTGAATTTTTATTTTTTTTTATTTTTATGTCAATTGAGCCTTTGAACTTTTTAATTGTGTCAATTAAACCTTTCTGCTAGTCTCTATTAGATTTTTTAACAGAAAGAGGTAAAGTGTGTCATTAATGTGACACAAATAGTTGGAATAAATTATACATGTATATATTTTTTTTTGAATAAACTATATATATAGTCCTCAGATTATGACTCTTGTGTCAATTAAATTCTTATGCAATTAAGTCTTTTAACTCTTTAATTATGTTAATTGAATTTTTTTTTTTTTGGTGTCATATGGTCACATGAATAGTACACCCTAATGAAGATAGACAAAAAAATTTAATTGACACAATTAAAGAGTTTATGGATTTAATTGACTTAAAAAATAATTCAAGAACATAATTGACATAAATATTATAATTTTAAGGTTATATGTGTTTATTCTAAAGTGAAAAAATGATTTCATCAAAAACATAAAAACGCCTTTTACTTGTGGTTTTGTATAAACGTAAATTAACTTCAACGAATAGTTTAAATGATAACAGAAATGAGTTATAAATTTAGTTATTTGAATTCGAATATTGACAATCAATTGAAATTAGGTTATGAGTATATTAGTCTCTACGTTGATAATCTACGTTTGACTGAATCGAGAAAATGATTAATCGAAATATGCGTTGAACCCACAAAAAAATAATTTAAATGCATGTTAATTTATAAATGATATTCTTACGTATGCGTTGAACCCACACTAAAATNGATATACGTTTGACCGAATCGAGAAAATGATTAATCGAAATATGCGTTGAACCCACAAAAAAATAACTTCAATGCATGTTAATTTATAAATGATATTCTTACGTATGCGTTGAACCCACACTAAAATCCCACACTACCACTATCAAGGAGATTATGCACTGGAAAGCAGAATAATGACTCCACCATACATATTAAAGAACTCTTTAATAGTAACTGTTTTAACACAAGCCATGAAGTCTTCAACCAACATTAATAAGAAAACAACAACGTAAGAAACTCCTTCTCCAGTACATAAGAACAATTACTTTACATCCAAGACATTTCTAAGCCTCCAGAAGAAACTCCTTGTCCTTCTCCAACTTCTCCATTGCACCAGCCTCCAAGCTGACCTCCACATCAATGCTTCTACCTCCGTTCTTGCCTGGATACAGATACACCATTCCATCGAACCTATTGTTAGTCCCACTCCTCACACTCTCCGGCTTCCCCCACCCGAAGTCGATGTCGTAAACCATGAACCGCGGAGAGCTTCCGACTGCCACACAATTCATTCCGGCATCTTTGTACTCAAAAATCTTAGGATTGTTTTCCCACTCAGTGTTACGTGCATCAATGGCTTTGGAGTCGTGCATTTCTATAGCTTTCTGTATCAGAGCTGCCCCAAACTCTAGTGGATTTGCCAACAATAATCCGGCCGCGGTCACAGTGAAAATAGCCTGAATAAGGTTTCCGAAGTAGCTCTCCGGCATCGGAGGGTCAATCCTTTTTCGGCAGTCTGTAAAAACAGTGTAAACAGTGTAGTCCTCTGGCTTGAGTTGGCGAGCACGTGTGATTGCATGCCACACGTGTGCAGATAGTGACTGAAACGTTGAGAATGGCTTTGAGCCGTTGGATGGGTTTGAGTTGACTTTTGACTTGATTTGGTCAATGGCTGACTCTGAGAACCTGAAGATCTTTTCCCTCAGTGGTGGCTCGGTCTTGTTGACGTCACCATTTGCTAAGTTGGCATGCTCAGGAGCGTCGGAGGGCTTTGAGAGGTTGAGCTTCACGCGCGTGTTTCGTGCTTTGGTGCGCTCTAGGAAGGGTGGGACAGAGATGGAGGGGGACCCACTGCAGATCTGGGCCCACGACTTCATGAAATGCCACGTGGCAGTACCATCGAGGATTGCATGATTAAATGCACATCCAATTGCAAGTCCATCCTTGAGCTTGGTAAGCTGCGGCAAAAAAAAAAAAACAGAGATTAGTGGGCCCACATCTGTATGATTTGACGGTGATGATTTTAGGACAGCAGACCAATCTAATCTGGTCCGTGTGGCATTCATCTATACGTGGTCGGATCCATGAACGGATAAGCTCCTATCCTTGGACGGGATAACTCAATTTTTTTTGTAAGATTTACTTTATTATTAGATTTTCTTAATTTTCATGCAAGAGTCAATCATCTATGGGTTAATTACACTATAAGTCTCCAAAGTATAAAATTTATATTATTTTAGTTATTAATATTTTAATTACATTATTTTGATCTCTAAAATATTGAATATATATTTCTATATAATTTTTTAAGCAAAAAAATCCGAATTACTAATATTTTTTTGATCATAAATTTATCATGTAATACCTAAATATAAGCAAAAAAATAATTTAAATAATTCTTGATCAAAATTTAGACAACTCATGATCAAAATTATGTAATTTGGGTAACTATTTTACCAAAATTTGAATAAAAATTTGGTTAAGAGTTATCCAAATTACTTTTTTTTGCTCATTTTTAAGTATTATGTGACAAACTTATAATGAAAAATCGTTAGCAATTTTGACTTTATTTGCTTAAGGAATCACATAAAAATATATTCAATACTTCAAAAACTAAAATGAAGTAATTAAAATATTAGATATCAAAATAAGATAAACAACATACTATAGGGACCTCTAATATAATTAGCCCATCATTTAACTTAAAATTTAATGGGTCTCCCCAAAAAATAAAGTGGGTCCCACAAAATATGAGTAATTTAATATTAAAGAAATTTGAAGAAAAAAAAATAGTAATAGAGAGTATCCTAATCTAAACAACGGGGATCTCGTTGTTTGAGACGTTATGAGGGGCTAGCATGATGACTCTACACAATATAAAGTTATGGTAGTTGGGCTGCGAAAGAGTGTATTTATCATGCAGACAGGCAAGGGTACAGAATGGGGAGTAAATTTTGAGCAAGTGGCTTTAAAGGGGAGGAAAACCATCGTACCAAAGTTTATAGTTTTTTGGGGTTTGAAACAAAATTTCAAGTCAGTCCATTTGTGGTACCAGTGTGTTTGTACCAACTACCAAGTGATACATTCCCTAATGCAGAATGCTAGCACAATAGTTGTTTTAAAGAGTTTATTGTGCCATCTCACCAAACAAGTCGGCTCTGAGGACAACACATACTAGTTTTCTGAATTTAGATCTCTCTAATATTTTTTTCCTATTTTAAAAGATAAATCATCCACCGACATTACAGAAGAATTCACTTATCATAGTGGGTTCTACTTACATTCATAATGGGTGATGAATAATCGAGATAATTGAGAAAAAATGAATACAGAGGAATCTGGATTCACTTTTTATTGTTAGTTTTACCTCAATAAACCAAAAAAACATGAGTTTTGACAAGAACGCTTTAGTTTTAGATAAAACTATTTTTGGGTTTAGCTATTTATGCTTACACATTCTTGTTACACTTGCACCTTCTAAGATGAATTTAAATAGAACCCACTATATATATATATAGAAATTTTGGTTTTTTAGGACTTTGGAAGTATATATTCTGCTCTAATTACCCGATTCCGAGCATATTTTTCAAGATACATTAAGATTTTAGTGCATTCTACAGTACTAGTTTCATAATTCAAGCTAAGGTGCTGAGTTTTATACTCATTAATAAACTTACAAAACACTTAGCTGGAAAGTGGCTGAAACCGTGGCAAAGCAATAAATTCAAGTAATTACGTACCTGCACGGCCAGAAGTGGCCTGTGAAGACCCTCCAAGTTCAAAATAAGATTGTATGGCACCAACTCCTTCAGCTTTGCTGTGCCCTCATCCTCCATCAGATCAGCCACCTCAATCCCCTCCGCCGCTGCCACCGCCACCTCTACCCCATCCATATCATCATCATACTCCACCTTAAACACTCCATCTTCATCTTTTCCCAACTTCCCAGCCAGTTGATAAAAGTCCTCCAAAACCACACTCAACCCATCCTTCAATTTGTCCACCAAGTCCTCAAAATTTTCACCCTTATAGATCAACACCTTCTGGTTATAGTAGAAACCTAGGTAAGGAAGATCAAAGGTGATCAATTGACACTCTCTTCTTCCTAGTGGTTTTTTGGGCTTGACGTGTGTTTTGTTCAGGACTGTCACCTTCACCATTGTCTGGTTGTTTAAAGCTTCACCGGCCATGGTTGACGATGAAACACTAAAGGTGAGAAAAAGCTCCGAGAAGAGAGAGAGAGAAGATATAATGTAAGATTACAGTGATTTGGAAAATGGGGTTGGGTGATATACATATATAGAAAAGTCCATTTGATACGGTTGTGCATGCATTTATGGGATTCATCGAGTGCAGTTGTGATCCATTAATTACCCTCTTTTTTGCATCTGTTAGAAGTTGAGTAAAATATACCCTTTTTTTTTTTTTTTATCTGTATTCAGAGTGATGTCCTATGCACATCTCTCTCTCTCTCTCTCTCTCTCTCTCTCACTCACACACACGCACTCTTATAAATACGNTTTATCTGTATTCAGAGTGATGTCCTATGCACATCTCTCTCTCTCTCTCTCTCTCTCTCTCACTCACACACACGCACTCTTATAAATACGATTACTTTGCTTTCAAAGAAACGATGCAGGGAACAAGTTACATTGACAAAGTAAACAAGTAAAATTATTAAATATGAAAATATTAAAGGTTGGTTTGATGTTCTTTTNTTAATTAATGGTGTATATATGGATCGAATCTTGTCGAAAATTCGCAGTTAAGCGTTTTTAAGTGAGAGTTGTACTCGGTTGAAAAAGTTGATACTTAAACCATAATTGATGGGCAATTGCATGGTCACCCTCCCTCCATGTCCATCTGAGATGATCAAGCTGGTGCTGTATGGGATATATGCTGGATGCCTCATTGACTTGGACAATGATAAGTCATTAGTCTGAGACAAGTGANTGAGATGCAATCAGTCAAATGTCTGATTTGTAACGCTAGCTCATTTTTCCTTATATTGGATATGATTCCGAAGGAAAGTGTGTACTATTATTCCACGTATTTTCAAAATTCATCAAAAAGTAGTTTGCATGGTAAAACCCACATATATAGTCTGCTGGTGATCATAAATATCTCGAGTTTATAAGACAATCCAATTAACATTAAAAAAAAAAAAAAGGGCGTAATCAGTGTACAAGACTTTCGTTAATACAACGTACTTGTTTACATGGTAAAGATAACACAAATAGTTTGTCGATGATTATAAAAATCTAGAGTTTACAAGATGGGTTCAATGTATATAAGAAAAATGACATATCCAGTGCACGAGACTTCCGTCATTGTTATGTCTGTGAAAGGTTAGATGTATGCAGCCTTTCTCTGCAAATAGAGAGACTATTTTCATAACTCCAATATGTGATCTTTGGATCATAATAAAATAACTTTATTATTGTGCCAAAATTCGCTCCTACGGATTCAATGTACATAAAAAATAAAATTATTGTGAGACTGCAAACAAAAGATTTTGGTGATAAGCAGCTACCAAATTAATTCCAGTATGAAAGCAAGAAAAATTGATTAGATAACGACAAATTTCTGATACTCTTTGGCTCAAATGCTGTGATTACCTCGTGGACTTCACTCCTTGACAAGAAGTCAATAAATCNCCCGTCATTGTTATGTAAGTGAAAGGTTAGATGTATGCAGCCTTTCTCTGCAAATAGAGAAACTATTTTCATAACTCCAATATGTGATCTTTGGATCATAATAAAATAACTTTATTGTTGTGCCAAAATTCGCTCCTACGGATTCAATGTACATAAAAAATAAAATTATTGTGAGACTGCAAACAAAAGATTTAGGTGATAAGCAGCTGCCAAATTAATTCCAGTATGAAAGCAAGAAAAATTGATTAGATAACGACAAATTTCTGATACTCTTTTGCTCAAATGCTGTGATTACCTCGTGGACTTCACTCCTTGACAAGAAGTCAATAAATCCTTCGGTGGAAAGGCATCTTTCATGCTACTTCAAGATTTGTATGGTTTCAACTGTTTGTTACACTCTGAATTAATTGCATCACCATGTCCATATTGAGACTAAGTCATGACTGCCTAGCTACCTTCCTTTTCAGGCTAATAATTAATCAAACGTAATTGCGTTTGTACAATTATTTGATTGATTGAGAACCGAGCAGCTTGTGTGCCTTTAATTGATGGTCTATATATGGATCAGATCTTATCAAAATTTCACAGTTAAGTGTGTTTGTATAATTATTTAATTGTTTGAGAACTGAGCAGGTTGAGTCCCTTTAATTAATGGTGTATATATGGATCGAATCTTGTCGAAAATTCGCAGTTAAGCGTTTTTAAGTGAGAGTTGTACTCGGTTGAAAAAGTTGATATTTAAACCATAATTGATGGGCAATTGCATGGTCACCCTCCCTCCATGTCCATCTGAGATGATCAAGCTGGTGCTGTATGGGATATATGCTGGATGCCTCATTGACTTGGACAATGATAAGTCATTAGTCTGAGACAAGTGACACAAATTGATTTTCAAACTTATCTTCTGGAATGAAAAAAAGTAAATTATTTGATTTCTTCAATTAATCTTTATGTCTCTCTGGGTTAGAATAGTACACTCAAGTAATAAAACAGTTAAATTAATCGTGTTTGAAGTTTATAAATCAGCAAATTTGATAAAATGGTCATTTTGAGAAATCATTTACAAGTTACATCAATCAAATTAATAAAATATGTCTCAAGTGGTATTGGACCACTCCGCCACCATCATCGCTACCACATCCATTATCATACCCCCCCCCCAAAAAAAAAAAAAACTTACCATTAGCACTAGCAAAATGACCTTGATATTCTATGTTTATGTTTGATCCAATATCTGTATTAAATGGGTTGAAAATGAATCTAACATATTTGACGTTTTTGATAAAAAGGACAGTGATGCCTCCACCAAAAGCAACATATTTGTAATCTCTTTACAAATAACCTTTTTCTAACTAAAAGGCATCCGGGTCGGTAATTTCCCCATCAACCCATATTGGACAATTACAGAGTATTCATAGGTGACTTTAAGAGGAGCCTCGCGCTTAGGACTTCAACTTTACAAAACAAGCTTCTAGATAACTCATCTAACATTTGGGATTCTTTCGGGAAAAAAAAAAAGNTCCTTCGGTGGAAAGGCATCTTTCATGCTACTTCAAGATTTGTATGGTTTCAACTGTTTGTTACACTCTGAATTAATTGCATCACCGTGTCCATATTGAGACTAAGTCATGACTGCCTAGCTACCTTCCTTTTCAGGCTAATAATTAATCAAACGTAATTGCGTTTGTACAATTATTTGATTGATTGAGAACCGAGCAGCTTGTGTGCCTTTAATTGATGGTCTATATATGGATCAGATCTTATCAAAATTTCACAGTTAAGTGTGTTTGTATAATTATTTAATTGTTTGAGAACTGAGCAGGTTGAGTCCCTGTAATTAATGGTATCGAATCTTGTCGAAAATTCGCAGTTAAGCGTTTTTAAGTGAGAGTTGTACTCGGTTGAAAAAGTTGATATTTAAACCATAATTGATGGGCAATTGCATGGTCACCCTCCCTCCATGTCCATCTGAGATGATCAAGCTGGTGCTGTATGGGATGTATGCTGGATGCCTCATTGACTTGGACAATGATAAGTCATTAGTCTGAGACAAGTGACACAAATTGATTTTCAAACTTATCTTCTGGAATGAAAAAAAGTAAATTATTTGATTTCTTCAATTAATCTTTATGTCTCTCTGGGTTAGAATAGTACACTCAAGTAATAAAACAGTTAAATTAATCGTGTTTGAAGTTTATAAATCAGCAAATTTGATAAAATGGTCATTTTGAGAAATCATTTACAAGTTACATCAATCAAATTAATAAAATATGTCTCAAGTGGTATTGGACCACTCCGCCACCATCATCGCTACCACATCCATTATCATACCCCCCCCCCCAAAAAAAAAAAAAACTTACCATTAGCACTAGCAAAATGACCTTGATACTCTATGTTTATGTTTGATCCAATATCTGTATTAAATGGGTTGAAAATGAATCTAACATATTTGACGTTTTTGATCAAAAAGGACAGTGATGCCTCCACCAAAAGCTAACATATTTGTAATCTCTTTACAAATAACCTTTTTCTAACTAAAAGGTATCCGGGTCGGTAATTTCCCCATCAACCCATATTGGACAATTACAGAGTATTCATAGGTGACTTTAAGAGGAGCCTCGCGCTTAGGACTTCAACTTTACAAAACAAGCTTCTAGGTAACTCATCTAACATTTGGGATTCTTTCGGGAAAAAAAAAAAGGTTTACTACCAATTTTACGCAAAGTAACTATATAGGGAGAAAAGAAACCTAAAATAGGGCACAATGAACCCATAATAGAGAATATAAGAAGTCAATCATTCACGAGATAAAAGTTAACCCTATAAATTTTTGGTCGAGAGAAACTCGTAAGAATTAGACCCATTGATTAAAAGTGANAAAAATAGGGCACAATGAACCTGTAATAGAGAATATAAGAAGTCAATCATTCACGAGATAAAAGTTAACCCTATAAATTTTTGGTCGAGAGAAACTCGTAAGAATTAGACCCATTGATTAAAAGTGATCTAGGATGGTATATAAGAAGATTACAGTTTATTGGTGCCATAAAATATTGTCCTCCAGAAGATTTATGAATGTGCACAACATTTTTTTTTGTTTAACAATCAACAGTGTTCAAGCCAAGGTATACACACTTTGACTAATTTTCTCCTCTCTCTTACACAATGCAGTCTATCCATGTCAAGACTAGAATNATTTATTGGTGCCATAAAATGTTGTCCTCTAGAAGATTTATGAATGTGCACAACATTTTTTTTTGTTTAACAATCAACAGTGTTCAAGCCAAGGTATACACACTTTGACTAATTTTCTCCTCTCTCTTACACAATGCAGTCTATCCATGTCAAGACTAGAATATTCGTGAAGGATAAATCTTTTATAACCTGACCGCAAGTGGTTACCTATATTCAAACTCAAGACGTCTAAGTTTACAAATCGTTCTTATTAACATTTGAGGTACTTCTTAGAATTTTATAATTGTGTACAACATGATGTAGACTATGCTCTTCTTATAGTCCCGTAATTAAGTTCCCAAGTGCAGCTGAGCACACACCTATATTTCAGTGATTAACAATGAAAGTAACATTCAATGTCTTTCTGTATAAGTGTCTAGGAGGGCCCTTTTCAACGGAGAAGGAACTACAAAAGACAAACGTTGCAACAAGCTCTGAACTTAAGCACTAAGCGCACAACGTTCTAATTTCGTACATCCGAAATTTGTATTCCAATCAAAAGTACGAAAACCCCCCCTCTCTTCATCATCAGTCACTAATTTGAGATGAGATGAGAGAACCTCCACGAAATCATTGGCAAAACAAGAGCAATTGTTACAGATTGTCCCATGGCGACTTCTATTTTTTCCACCCAAGTACACTTTCATCATTAACCATGAATATTAGGAATCCTTGATTTTGGATCTTGGATGTACTGAATCTTATAGAAAATTAGGAAACCTTGGTTCGCAATTCACATAGAATTTAGCCAATATACCATGGTCCAATACGTAGGTCCATTCGATACATGCACAATATAAAAATAAGTCAAATATCTCACAAATGAAGTGTCGATCCTAAGTCAATCTTGTGGCCGAATATGAGGGCAAAATATAATGAAAGAGGAGGAGATAAAAGTTTGGAGCGTAATTCACCAACACTTTATCGATGGGATCTCTTACCTCTCTTTTCTACAATTTTGATCTATGAGTAAGCATATTCATAAACATCCACACCGATAAATTATACATCAACAACTCAAACAACTCTACCATAAGATTCAATAAAAATACGGTTAAGCATCCTCATCTTTGATCATTTTCATTCATCCAAGAACCTTAGAAGTAAGCATATGGTAACAAATTTGTTGGCTATTTAAGACTAAACAATGAAAGCGGGTAGGTATTAAAGGACCACAGGTCCAAAGTCAATAGTCCTCGTGATAATGCAATGTGTGCCCACGAAGAGAGGTCTGCCTAGAATTCATCGAACCCAAAATAATAATGTTTGGTATTTGAATCACAATCATCCCAGCAATGGTTATCAAGCAAAGAATGCCGGGATTCGAATTCTCTCATCGTATAAAAATAGGACCATGTTTAGAGGATGTATTTGTCAATTCATGCATTTTGTGGCCGTTGAAAACTATAAATTTGTTTGAAAATTGGTGAAATCAAATACTTTATTAGGGTTTTTCGCATTTTGTATCTAAAAAAATTTCAAAATTCTTACTTTATACTTTAAAAAATTGAAATTTTTACATTGCATCTTCAATATATAAAAAATGTTCTAATGTAGTCCTTTAGTTTGTTTATAATATTTTTTAAGTTAAAAGTCAACTCATTGATACTGACGAAAAACTAATAAAAAAATTACATTGAAACATTTTTTATACATTTTTTTTTATTCAACGGTCAGGGATGTCCAGACTAAACTTGCGCACACCTCGACTAGTCTCGTCCTCCGTCCGATAAAAAACAGGTCATCCACATAGAGATTAGAGTATTCATAAGAGATAAATCTCTCATGACCTAAACTGAAAAATGTTATCGACACGTCTGAGTTTACCACTTATTCTTGTTACCACTTGAATTATCCTTTGATGTTTCACATTTGATACATTTAGAGCACAATATGAGAAACTTAATATTTGAAGATATAAAGTGAGAATATTAAAATCTTTTATGGTGTAAAATGTAATTCGCCTTATTTATTAGGCAAATAATTATTTTAATGAAGACACTGGGCCGTGATGGGTCGACTCGGATCCAGAATCTCTTTCATTACTAGGTTTCTACCTCTGTTGATGGTCATGAAACACAAGTACAAGTGCTCTTCCAACTCATCAAGCTGTTCACTAAAGCTCAAGTCATTCTTCTTCAGCTGGCGCGCCACTTCCCTACCGGCCTGAAGCCGGTCCCCTCCTCTCTCGAGCCAGAACCTGACTGTGGCTCGCATATGTTCTAGCTCATCATTTAGCCGAGCCACAAGCCGACTTATGGTGTCCAGGTCCCTACTCAATATGTAAGTCCCTTTGGCTGCTGCATCGAGCTGAGCTGACCACTTGGTTAGGCTCATAGTTGAACCCAGCTCAAACCAAGCCACTATAAGACCCGGCCCAGCCACTAGCGTTGCTGCAGCATGAGTAGCAACAATTACTGTCAACGAAGCCGTCAGAGCCACTAGAATAATGGCTGAGCTGTGTTTTAGCTTATTGATCAATCGNTTCTAATGTAGTCCTTTAGTTTGTTTCTAATATTTTTTAAGTTAAAAGTCAACTCATTGATACTGACAAAAAACTAATAAAAAAATTACATTGAAACATTTTTTATATATTTTTTTTTATTCAACGGTCAGGGATGTCCATACTAAACTTGCGCACACTTCGACTAGTCTCGTCCTCCGTCCGATCAAAAACAGGTCATCCACATAGAGATTAGAGTATTCATAAGAGATAAATCTCTCATGACCTAAACTGAAAAATGTTATCGAGACGTCTGAATTTACCACTTATTCTTGTTACCACTTGGATTATCCTTTGATGTTTCAAATTTGATACATTTAGAGCACAATATGAGAAACTTAATATTTGAAGATATAAAGTGAGAATATTAAAATCTTTTATGGTGTAAAATGTAATTCGCCTTATTTATTAGGCAAATAATTATTTTAATGAAGACACTGGGCCGTGATGGGTCGACTCGGATCCAGAATCTCTTTCATTACTAGGTTTCTACCTCTGTTGATGGTCATGAAACACAAGTACAAGTGCTCTTCCAACTCATCAAGCTGTTCACTAAAGCTCAAGTCATTCTTCTTCAGCTGGCGCGCCACTTCCCTACCGGCCTGAAGCCGGTCCCCTCCTCTCTCGAGCCAGAACCTGACTGTGGCTCGCATATGTTCTAGCTCATCATTTAGCCGAGCCACAAGCCGACTTATGGTGTCCAGGTCCCTACTCAATATGTAAGTCCCTTTGGCTGCTGCATCGAGCTGAGCTGACCACTTGGTTAGGCTCATAGTTGAACCCAGCTCAAACCAAGCCACTATAAGACCCGGCCCAGCCACTAGCGTTGCTGCAGCATGAGTAGCAACAATTACTGTCAACGAAGCCGTCAGAGCCACTAGAATAATGGCTGAGCTGTGTTTTAGCTTATTGATCAATCGGAGCTTGGCCCGGGCCCTGTCACGGCTTGACTCGAGCAGTTTGAGCAACTCGGAGCTACCCACTTTTACGGCTTGTAGTCGGGTCGGAGATGAACCTGATGGTACAAATGGGTTGATGGAGTTGGAGAATTCGGTTAGTCGGGTCAAGATTGCGGGCAAATAGTTTATCGATAAGAATTGAGCAGTTTCCAGAGATTCGATAGTAATTTTTAGGGACCGATATTTAACACGTGTACGGTCAATATCTTTCAACAAAAGACTACATAAGAGAGAAGCATCAGCACTTCTAGAGAAATAGTCCGATAAAAGAGAGTAGTAATTAGGATGGTTGTTTGTCAATGTTAGGATTCGAGTCACAGTGGGTTGATCAGGATCCAAGAGATAATCCACAAAGAGCCTGTATGATGGGAGTCGGGTTGATGAAGTGGATCCCACAATCTTACATGTGGCACAATCTCGATTATTTATTACAAGGGCACGCGTCCAAAACTCATTATACGATTCAGTTCGAAATGCATTTGCATATTCTTCTTGGAGGTCCAAATCAAGACAATCTGAATTGTTCATCCGATCTACTACAAGACACCAACAACTAATATAATTCAATGACAAATTCGTTAACATACATTACGAAAAAGATAAGAATCACCCAAAAATTAAAAAAAAAAACTCAAAATTGTGCCATTGGAAATGGTCACTACCCTAAGAAAGAGATACACTTAATATAAAGTTTCAAACGGTTTGAAGAGCATGAGGTAACCAATTTAATGAAACATAGATAAGGAAGGTGAACTAGGGGCCTCCACCACATGCCAATCTTGAAACGCCTAAATGGACCCAATTCAATTAAACCTATGCCAACCACCTAGTTGTAATGCTCCCACAACTATTACTTGTGGGCTGGAAGCCAAGGTTTTGAATTTTAATGTGAGTGGGTGTACATAATTGTGGTCATGTGATCCTATCATGGGACATTGTTAATATAGTTTCTTCTTTTTTTTTTAACGGAAAGAGTGTTCGAGTCAATTTATATGTATCTCGACTAATTCTTTTTTTGGTTCAGTTAAAAAAATGTCATCTATTTCGGAACTAAAGTATTCATTTGAGATAAATTTCTCATAATCTAGCTTTAAAGAATTACCAAATTTTGAATTCATGACATGTGAATATATATACATATATATAGAGAGAGAGAGTTTCTTTTGACCCAAAGAGACTCCAATATAAGATTTGGCAAACCTNGAATTCATGACATGTGAATATATATACATATATATATATATATAGAGAGAGAGAGAGAGAGTTTCTTTTGACCCAAAGAGACTCCAATATAAGATTTGGCAAACCTGGGGGCTTAGGGTCTTGCCTCTATGGGCCCGGACTCATTAATCCCAATGAAATTACTACTCGTGAGCCCNCTGGGGGCTTAGGGTCTTGCCTCTATGGGCCCGGACTCATTAATCCCAATGAAATTACTACTCGTGAGCCCCACGGGTTGACCCTACCATGCTTTAATAACCCAACCACCATAAAAACTAATGGATACACACCATGATTCATTAATCAACCTCATTGTGGTTGCTAATGAACTGAGTTGTTCATGAGCAATTTAAAATTAACTTGGATAAAAATTTATTTAAAGTCATTCACATTTACTAATTGAACTAAATTATAACTCAATTTTAAAGCTCGTTTAACAACTAACCAAGCTCGAACAATGGTTTGTTCGAGTTGTTAGGCTCGTAAAAATGTATGCAAACTCAAGCTTAACTTTAAAGAGAAGCACTAACTCAATTCATTAACTTGACCAAGCCTATACCTAGTCCAAATTTAACAAGCCAAGTTTGATTAAGATTTTTGAACCTCATCACCGATCCAAGTTAAGTCAAAAACACTCTTTGCAAACGAAAGAACAAGACCAAATAGACCGATACTTATTCAATTTGATATAATACACTAGCGGATTTTTATCACGATTCCATTTTTCTAGTGTTTCGATGCCTCGGGTGTATTTCTTAGCAATTTCTCTTACTAATATATATTTAACATGAATTCAAGTAAGATCCGTTCCTTTCCAATATACCATGAAAATATATTTTTCTTACTTTCCTCTGGCTTGTAAAAAAAAATTGTAAGTATCCAACATATAATGAACTAAAACACTGGCATACCCTTGTATGGAAGCAACTTTTTGATGCTAAAACCAATTCTGATCTTCATTTTCTTTCTGGCTGTCAATGTAAAACAACACCGCAATGCCCTAAACAGTAGAATTCCAAGGACATAAAACATATTAATTAGAAAAAAAAAAAGACAACAACGAATGAGAAGAAGAAAAAGAACAAGGGGAACTCCAAGGAATAGGTCAAGTGATAATAGTGACGAACTATAAATTCAAACGTTCTGAGTTCGAATCTTGAGAACTCTGTAGAGCCAAGTCATGAGAGATTTATCTCTCGTGAATATCATAATTCTGGCATAGTTGAGCTGCCTTTGATCAAACTAGGATGAAAATTATTTGGGATTTGCGTAATTTGACTTAAACATTTCTAACCGTTAAACTCTAAAAAAAAAGCAAAAAAGGCAAAAAGGGAAGAAGAACTTACTGTATGAAAATAAGGTGAATGAACATACCTCTCGAAGAGGAAAAACTCACAGCTTAAATGGTTGTATTCTTGAAGTTGGTGGGGGAAGAAACAAGAGAGAACAATTCAAGGCCCCTTATAGAACACCACATGTTCTAGCTTTTGCTTGAAAGAAAAAGGAAACAGTTCAGATATGGTAGAAGTACTTCTACGACAAGGTAGGGGAAGGCCTGTTTGGTAGAAGAAGGGGAAAAAAAAAAGGAAGTCTTGATCAATAAAAAAAGAGAGAAGAATTCAAACTAAATTGAGAAAAGCCAAACAGTGAAGTCGGCGCCAACCTTGGTTGGTTGCAACTTCAACCAAACGCCATAGGGCTCATAGAGTCTGATATGATGACATGATGATACACTATTTTGGATTTCTTGCCAAGAACCCAAAATAAAAACACCAAAAGTAAAAGAATTTCCATAGTGCAATATACAGCTAAACAAAATTCCAGTTATAATTTGTGAAATCGAGACAAAATCAATAGAGAATTTGCGGGTTTAAGTAAAAAAAGTTGAAAGGGCTCTACTGAAACGACTCTACACATAGTTTAAGAATGAATATGACAGATGTTGTATTTGGTTCAGTATGTATCCAGATAGAGCCCTCACTAGTCCGACTATAACTCTATCTTTCACATTATCATCATTAATTTTTTTCCCTGGAAGATATCTTGTTAAGTTATTTGCATATGTGCCCTTGTTTAATGCAATTAGTTGCAGCTCAAATTGTTTTCTCAATGCCTTCTCCTTTGATCATGATTTTCCTCAACGCTGATGTGCTTAATTTGGGCTTTGGAAATCCTATTGGATATGCCCAGGTAAGAGCCCAGCTAAATATATAAGCCCACATACTAGCCCATCCAGAAGAAAGACCCTACGAGAACACTATGGGCTTGTGGCTTAGTTGAGGTTGGGAGCCACTTCTTAAGGGCCGTCGCCGAACACCACCACGCTTCGTCAACGGGTCTGGCTCCTCTGCGGTAAGGAGGTTACCGCATCTCATGCGGTTTAATAAAACGGCACCGTTTTGGGTGTTTTTTGTAATTTTTTTTTAACAGCCCNGGTTACCGCATCTCATGCGGTTTAATAAAACGGCACCGTTTTGGGTGTTTTTTGTTATTTTTTTTTAACAGCCCTTGCCAAAAACGACGTCGTTTTTGGTCCTTCAAATTCTTCGGCTTCTTCAACTGTGGCTGCCTCCTCTCCATCTGAAATCCCTTCTCCTGCCTTCTCTTACAGTCTCACTCAGGCGCTTCCTCTCTTTCTCTCTCTCTCTCCTCCTAAGTCCTAAACAGCCATAAATCATCGGAGCCTGAACTTTGGCTGCCTCCTATCCTCTCCACCGCTAAACCCTCCTCCCCTAACCAGGCGGAAAACCCTCTCTCTCTCTCTCTCTCTCTCTCTCTCTCTCTGTGAACAATGCTCTCTCGCCTCATTTGTAAGACCTCAAACCTTCGTCTCCTATCCCTAGTATTGTCAGGAAAACCTCTGTCAAACCCTAAATCCCACTCCTTTTACTCACAAGACCATTTAGGGTTCAATTTCTTCGTCAAAACCCCCAAATATTTCTCGACGAATCACAATAATAACGGTAGTAGTAATAAAGATCAAACAGCATCTCATTTATGGAAACTGTCTACGGATAATGACGATAACACTGACTCTTTATTCGGCGAAGGCAGCGAAGGAACTCTAGAAGGAATCGACGAGGGCAATGCTAATGCTAGTCCACCGGTCAAAGCGGAGGATGAGTCTTGGTCGGGAGAATCGGGTGTTGGTGGTGGCGATGATGATGGTATATTTAAAAGTATCGATGGAAAGGGTGAGATTGGAGGGAGTAAAATCGGGGGTGGTGGGGATGATGGCTGGGTGACGGCGGAAGGATACAAGGCGTGGAATTTTGTGGTGGAGGAGAAAGAGGAAGATGTATTTGATATTGGAACAGAGGGAGGATCGGAGGAAATGCAGGGACTTGGTGGCAGCAGTGAGAGAGTGGAGAGTGAGAAGAGTGAAGAGGTGAAGCAACTTGAGAGAGAAGAGAAAGCTCTAACTGCTGTACTCAAAGGCAAGCTTTTTAATTAAACACCCAAATTCTTTATGATTTTAGTAAATATCGTAAGCATATGCATATAATGGAACCTTTTGCTTAGTATTACTCATATATTCATTGCGGAACAATTTATAATTTGTTCAGGCTTGTTAGTGTATTTGTTTGTAGCATGATCAGTGTATTGTTTGATGGGTGCATATAATGGGGTTGCTTTGCTGGCTGTCAATGCCAAAAAAATTCAGGTTCGATTTTATTACATCAGAGACTAAATCTTAGCAGAGGAGGATTGAGAAGATCATAATCATGGTTTGATACTGATTGTGTGTGTAGTTAAGCCTGTCAGTGGGGAAAAATGTAAATGCACGCTTTTTGGTTTACTACCAAAAAAAGTATTGCCTGAATTGGAAGCGTTAGACCAAGGTGCTTGTTGCAAACTGTATGTTTCTGTCCTCTAGTGTATTTAATGAATTAGTTATTCACTGTAGATTTAATATTAGAGTGCTGAAGAGTTCAGTGCCCCTCCATTTAGCTTGCTAGCTACCAATTTGGAGTGGAAAGCCACTGGTGAGAGGGTTGAGGGTTTGTGGACAGACAAAATGGAGCTAGTGATGTACTTGCTTCAAAAAGCTCGAGTTCGGATAGACCAGATGATACATTGGATATGGTTGGCTGTGAGATCAAATAACTATCATTGAAAAATCTGTTTACCCTGGCCCACTTTCTCAACGAAGATTACCGTCTATAGAGTAGATTCATTGGTCCATAGGATACAAGTTATAATTTTGGATTTTTTATTCTGTATTTTAATTAATCCGATATAGGCTCTGATAATGGTTTTGCATGAAGTTTAGGAGTCTAATATTGTACAGATTTTACCGAAGAATATACTGATCCAATATTTGTGATTGCAGGTCTGAATCGTGCATTTGGTGATCTCATTGCTGCATCTGGAATCACAGAATCAATGTTGGACAGTTTGATTGCTCTAAAGGACCTGGAAGACATTCAAGGATTGCCCCCTCTAAGAGAAATAGAAGACGCGCGTTATGAGAAAAATACAAGAAAATCCACACGGGCTGAAATAGAGCGCCGGAAACAGGAGGAGGTTGCCAGAGCAAGAGTGAGACAAGTGGATGAAAAGGGAAGGGCGTATGGAACAGGAAGGAGGAAATGCAGTATAGCCCGTGTCTGGATTCAACCTGGTGAAGGGCAATTTACTGTCAATGACAAGCAGTTCGATGTGTATTTCCCAATGCTTGATCACCCGGCTGCTTTGCTTCGACCTTTCTCCGAAACAAAGACTTTGGGTCTGTGGGACGTCAATTGTACTGTCAAGGGGTGTGTCAGGTGAGCAAGACTCAGTGCTTACATATCTTATTATTTTTAGCGTCTTTTTTCCTATTTTAATTTGGGTTCCTTCTGGATGACAATTAAGCAACACTAATGTTGTAACTGAAGAGTTAGCATTTGATCTATGCAGCATAATGCCAATATGTTTTATCATGTACATCTAGCCCATTTGAGGAAGAATTGCATGGATGTTTAACTCCTTTGCATGATTCATTCATCACCTTTTCTTGAGGATAAATATTTTGCTTCCAGCAATTATATCCAAAGGTTGATATGTTTTTCCTGCTCTCCAAAGGTCAACCTCTTCTGGATATGATGTTAAACATCAGTGCTTTTATTATTTCAATAGTCAAGGTTTGAAATTTATGGTATTTATAGGGAGGAATGTTGAGAAGCAGTGTGAGGAAAATTTTCAAAATAGCTTTGAAGCCTCAGTTTATAGAGGGCAACTTTCTGCCAACTATATAGGCATGTCCACTTGCAGTGTTGGGAGCCACATTTGGGGCCTCTTGGCTGTTGCAAGGAGTTAGATCATCAAGTATGCACTTGACTGCTGTGCAATGATAGAATGCGAGAATAAACATTGGCAGGGATTAAATTTACCCATGGGCTGATGTTCAAAGCTCTGAAGGATCCACACATGATTATCTTTTGACATTAGTTAACTGCACATGATAGTTTCCTAGTGATATTATAATTGAATCACAAATATGCCATACTGGCAAATGTGCATGAATTTCAACTAATATCAACAGTTCTGCAGTGGGTTTTCCTTCCTTATTTTTCACTAACCAAAGAAGAAGAACATTTTTTTCTTCTTGTAGTTTCATCTTGCTCTTCTGATGCTATGGTTTTGTACATGCCTGCAATTCGTCATTGTGCTGCTTTGTGGCTTATTTATTGTTTGTATTAAAGCTTGAGTTGAGCTTCATCTTTTTTTGTGAGAAATTAAGTTCTTGTTAGTTGTTAGTTTTTGCCACAGGGATTCGAGATGGTGGTATGAGGCTGTAAGATTGTAATTTGAATTATCTGAGTCATGTTACTTGATGGCTAATGTGAGTGCAATTTATCAATTTTCCTGTTAGTTGTATCTTTAGCTTACTGGCTTATCTTTGTTGCCTTCATTGCATTGCTCCTAACTCTGAAGTAATTTACTTTGTGTGAACAGGTCAAGTTGGGGCAATTCGTTTGGGTATCAGTAAGGCCTTGCAAAACTGGGAGCCAGATCTACGTCCTCCTCTCAGATCAGGTACAACTTGTGGGGCTGACTTTTTTTTTCTATTACAGATTCATTTTGCTTTTTCATAGCAAATTACTTACTAAACCTGCAGTTTTCCTAAAGTTAGAAGAAAGGATGTTTTCTTTTACTTCTCAGGTTGGGAATTGTAGGAAAATGCAAGCATGATCTATATAACTTTAGCTTGCCTACTGATTCCAGCCTTAATGGCGTTGTTAATCAAATATAACCCCACATATTTATTTCTATAGACAATTTCAGCTTGTTGTCATGCATGATTTTTACCCACACCACCTCTTAATTTGCATCTCATTATTGTGTCTTGCCAGTTGGTTTCTTGACAAGGGACCCGAGAGTTGTGGAAAGGAAAAAGCCTGGCAAGGCAAAAGCACGAAAGAGTTTCCAGTGGGTCAAGCGTTGATCTAACAACTGCTAATTGGATTTGACGGAACCAGTTTTTGTATGAGGCAGTGTGACGTCGCTTCTTTGCAATAAGTTGTTGATATCCAATCAGCTAGGCCGGCATCTCTTCCTGTAATGTAGCTTGTAATCCATTGTTCAGCATGAATTGTGGCATAACTAAAAGATTTTGTTGATCCAGAACAAAATTATCATTAAATCTCATTTCGGTGCGTTTTTTTTGTTTTCAGAAAACAATGGAAAACATCAGTTTTTCTTTTGATCGACCAGTTTGATTAATAGACGATGTTGTTTTTTAATCTGTTATAGTAACTTGCTTTCTTCAGCATTCTTATTATATGCTAGTTACATTTCCGGGACTGTTTGCTAGTGTGGGTTTCCTTCTTTGTTGTTGAGGTTCACTCACAGGCTGGCAGCACTTAAATATGGTCAGCAAACAGTTTTTTGATGAGAAAATTGAAGGGCCTCAAAGACAAATGTCATTGTTCGTATATGGGATTTAGGATCCTTTCCTAGGCTGAACCAATGAACCACCCTTTCCCTTAAAGGTTAAATAGTCTTTTTTTTTTTACCATCTCGTTTGTATGATTTTATTTTAAACCTTCAAAATAATTATGTACAAATTGAAATAAATGTTTATATGAACCCAAGTTTACNACCATCTCGTTTGTATGATTTTATTTTAAACCTTCAAAATAATTATGTACAAATTGAAATAAATATTTATATGAACCCAAGTTTACATGCCATAGCTCACTAAGATTTGTTATTTTGAGGAAGTGGTGAAAACTTTCAGAAGAAGAATGGAGGGTTGGTATTCTAAACTGCTTTCTGGAATGGGGAGAGTGGTTTTAGTTCAGTCAGTTCTGAGTTCTATTCCAATTCATATGCTTGCTTGTGTAAATATTCCCAAGGGGATACTTAAGCAATTGAACTCCATCATTGCTGGGTTTATTTGGTCTGCTAAACTGGATGTTAGAAGGAGAC